TCCAGGTTGTGGATGTTTAGGCTCTGGTTTCAGCACCTGCTGGGCATCTTCAAGCACCCTTGTGTGTGTTTGTTGTGTGTTTCTGGGTGTGAACAGGGACACCAGTAACAGAGGCACTAATGTGGACACAGAAGGAATGTCACATTGCGTCTGTTTAGAGGCATCCTGTTGGTTGTAGAGACATAAGAAAATATTAATATGACAATATATCACAATGTATTGTTTTCCAGCAATATTATATTTATATTCAAAAGCTGTGTATGGAATTTTTGGAAGACTTTACAAGCAAACATTTGTGTATTTTCTTTGGTGCAATTCGAACTTTGACCACTAGTTGGCAGCAGTGTGCAGTGGGTTTTGTTTCCACCACTGAAATGTAAATCCCTCTATTATGGTTCAGATACCTCATGTTAAACATGGTACGTATCAGTTTAGACTGTTAATTGAATTTCCCTACGATCGTTTCAGTCTAAAAGAATCGCTGATAGCATCTGGCTGAATGTATCGCAATATATGGTGATCTATCGTATCGTCTCCCCTGTTTCGTCAGAATTTCACCAGTACACATTCCCAGTTGAGTGGATGCTTTGCTTTTTGTAATGTATGTGTTACATGTGCACTTTGCATGTCTTCTTCTGGGTTTGGTTGTGTGGATTAAAGGAGTGTAGCCTCGAAGAGCCTCAAAAAGGGAAAAAAAGAAATGAAATGCACTTTGTCTGTGTGCCGAGGAGAGCATTTCAAGAACCTTGTTTTGATCAAAAGCAACAACCACTGCAAGGTTTGGATTTTTATGTAAGAAGGCATAAAAATAAGCTGCTGGCTCTGTAAATGTCAAAGTACAGAAATGCACCGCCTCTGCATGTGTAGGGCCTCAGAAAGGTAAAGAATAATTTCTCTTTTGGGTTAAAGATTTTGAAATAAACAGTAAGACCGTATATGTATCATGCTGTCATGGCGCTGTGAGTTAAGAAATGTATAGAATTGTCTTTTATTAGATGAGTTTAGATTAAGTTTTTGTAAAGGGACAGTACATTTTAGTGGACACACACACACACACACACACACACACACACACACATATATATATATATATATATATATATATATATATATATATATATATATATACACACACACATAAGTAAACATGCAAGATTATAGCCAAGGCTAATTTCCATTTTTAGTCCCTCAGCAGGTTGGTAGCTGCTACACATGTGTGAATACAAACAGGAAAACAAAAACAAATACAAAACAATGTTGTGATTCTAAAATTAAACAAAAAAAAGACAAAATATTTCAGAATACACCTTAATTTGTAAAATTAACTACTTCCGTTTACCCTGTATTAAAACTTAAAAAGTAGCCGCACAAGTTAAAATTTTCCATATTTATACAAATATAAATATAAAATATCATACACCATTTAGCAGCAAGGCAATATAAGTCCCTACCTCAGTGGAAAAACACTCTTTACCTTGTCCTTAAATTTACTGTTATGTTTATGTTTGATTGTGTGAATTATAATGATGTTGAGCTACAGTCAAATCCTGTTAGAAAATAATGTGGTTGTCTTTAAAGTGACTGGGGAACCCTTTAAAAGGAAATCTGGCTATGAGGACGTGTGTGCCCTAATAAGCCACACGTTTTCTGTTGTACCAAACAGTGTTGTTAGAAACACAAAATATTGCTGTTTATTTATGAATCTATAATATTTAGTACATTTTTTGACATACGTAGGATGCCATGTTTTCCGCACGCAATGCGCTCTGGGGGCGATGACGTATATTGGTTGCACTTGGACGAATAGCTATTGATGCTAGTGTTTGTTTACGTGCTCACCGTATTAATAATTAAGTAGCATTGTGCTGCTTTTGTATGGGATTTCCAGCCAGAGGGCAACAAGGGGAGTTATGTGAGTTTACACAGCTTTCCCACTGGCAAGAAGAGGAGAAAGCAGTGGGAAGATGCCTGTGGACGGACACAACTTCCCTAAGATCCGCAGTTGTGTTCCCAACATTTTTCTCCTGATGCGTTTGAGGCTTCTAGTCAACCACAACGACTTAAAGAGCTCACCAGAGCGGCTAGGTATAAGATAAGGCGGAAACGAAATGCTTTACCGATCATTTTCCCACACAAGGAGCCTAAATGCCCTCGGAGAGACAAGAGACGCTGACCGCTCTCCTGAGCCGACAACCCGCTCCTGTAGCTGCCGCTTCTGGAACGTTCCGCGAACCATCGGACACGCCACTCGTCACGGATGAAGCTGAACATTCACCTCTCCCATCAGTAAACCTAGCAGTAAGTGTAGCAATGCAGTGTTCTCCAAATATATAATATCTGCAAAAATTATTAAAGTCGTTTCACTGAATATGCTAATCATCTATAAAGCACAGGACAGCTCTGGATGCTAAAATTCTCAAATCATTCAGTTCAATTCAATTCAAAATTACTTTATTAATCCCAGAGGGAAATTAGAGTTTCAGTACACACAATGTTGAGATCAGACATACATACATAGATACATGACAAGAATTGGTGACAGTGGTCATTCGCAACCCCAGTCGCGCTACCGTTATAGATCAAGAGGGTTTATATGAGGATAGAGTCAGGGGGAGGGAAAAAAGGGCACTTCAGAGTTACCCTCCACAGAGAAGGTAGCTTTGCTATGCAAAAAAACGCCTCAGACAGATATGTTGTGTATCGTCTGAAGTCTGTGTGCATAAGTGTCCACTAGGTAAGGAGGTAGGGTTGGGCCTCTCCTCACTTCAGTGCATGCAGCCGCAAGAGCAGCGCTCATCACCTCCGTTTGGACAGGGGAGGGGAGATAATGGGTTAGAGGTAGGGATGTCCCGATCAGGATTTTTTTTTTGTCCTCAAGTCCGAGTCGTTTGATTTTGAGAATCTGCCAATACCGAGTCCCGATCCGATACTTTCGATACATTAAAAAAAGAAATAAAGAAAAGGAAGAAACAGTTCCAGATAGTTCCTTATTTTTTATTTAATTACCTTTTTATTTAAATTTTTAGCAACAGATCACTTCTGTGAGGTAGTGTAACGAGATAATTTACATGTTATTTCATGAGCCATAAGACATGAGATTCTATAGTAAATATGAAATCCACCTTATAAATCTGTGGGTACTTTTTAACCAGAAGATTGGAACTTTTTATTGCAGGGATTATGTATCAACTTCGTATTAACTCAGAGACAAAAGAAAGAGAGTCAAGTCTTAAATGTTAAAAAATGTATTACTAAACAAATTACAACTAGACTAACTTTAACACTAAATGTATGGTGTAACTAAGGTGAAATGAGACGGAGAATGGTGTACTGTGGAATGTGGAATGTTGTTCAGAACCAGCAAATCTGAAGAAACGGTTAGTTCTGGTGGGAATGAAGGTGATGTCTTGAGCTAAGCTTTGATTAGGAGATTCATAAACACATTTGACGCCATGTTGTCGCTCCACACATAGCCTTAGAATGAGACCTCCGTACAGATCCAGAATGCCAGGTCCTCAAACCCCTCTTTCGGTACTGGAGCCGATGAAACGGCGTCAGCAGTACGACAGACAAGTCTTTGGATTGTCTCCAGGTAAAAAGCGACAGTTGTTTGACAGCGTCAGATGGACCCAGAAGGTCAGTGAGTTCAGCTTTTATTCTGAAAGGAACCATTGCAGCAGTTGGAACAGCAACAGATTTTATCCAGCTCGTCGTTGGTTCTTTTGGCTGAAGAGGAAAGTTACAGATTGGCCACTCCGACAACTTCTCTCGAACGCTTTGAACTGGCGTTAAAGATGACGTGGGCATGGTTTTATACTTCGGATGTTTTGGTTTATGGTCGAATGAAAAGGTGACAGATTTACCAAACACCACCAAACCCACGCCTCCGTCAGATCTGGCAGATTCTGATTGGATCAGTAAAAGCAATGTGTCATGTCTTAACGCTACGTGAGATCAGTCCTAGTGGAAACCTGTAAAGTCATATTACTTACTTTATTATAATCCTATAGAATATAATAATTATTTAGATTTCACAGAGTGGTCACATCTTATTGTTGACTAACACTTTGTTTGATTAGCTTTATTAAAAATTGAGTTATTTGATTTATTAAAAGGAGAGAGTCCTTTTCTTCATTCTTCTCTTGGGCTGGAAAGGAAGCAGTTTAGAGCAAATGCATGAGACCTTGAGGCCATATCTCATGCAGACTAGTTCTGTGTCAGAGGAGAGGGGGAAAATGACTTTTAGGTGGAAAACAGTCATTTCATTCTGTTACAAATAAATAAAAAAGGCATAAGAGCAGCAAAACCTGCTGCTTCAAGTTTCATAAGTTTAGAATTAGTGGAGATAAAAAAGTTATTTGTTGTTCAACATGCCAACAATCCTGCAGACGCCTGACTGTGTGATTCTGTGTCGGGGATGCTTCATAAACTGCCCAAGTCCTGCCTTTACCTGCTAGTTGTGGCTGTTGGGTGCAGAGCAGGTTGATTTGAAGTTCCCGCCTCAAGAATTAATCTAGAAAGGTCAGCAAGGAAACAAACCTCAGTTGAATATTCTTCTCAAGCTACTTCAGTCTCCAAGCAGCAGGTAGAGAGGAGATGAGGTTAATGTTCTGCTCGAGCTGCATTCAAAAACCTTTCAGTCTGTCTTTCTTTCCTCAACTTCAGGATAGTGATGCACACACCACGGCCCGTTTAAAGCTGTAATATTTCATTTTTTTCTTAATCAGAATCCTTTTTGTACCAAAGTTGTAAATTCTCGTCAGCTATAAAAGGAAGAGGGGGTGTTAATAATTCATGCCTGATTGAAAGGGCAAAGAAGATATTCCCACCTGTTCTTTTGATGATGGATGTGTCATTCTATTGAAGCTTAATAATGTGGCTCTGAGTCGTACCTTCAAAACCCTCTTTGAATAAACTAACTCGACACGTCTGTTAGAGAAAAAGAAAAGATTCTTTGTCAAACTTGTGAAGTTAAACACGTTGCGTTTGTTTTGTCGCAGCTCTGCAGCACAGGGGTCAGAGGAGGAGGCGGGTGGGAACAACCTACAGCGACGCCACCGTCACGGCAGAGATGGAGGACCTGGAGGTCTGGAGAAAAGGCTGGAGGAGCTGGAGAAGGTAAAGACACCCGGCTACGTTGGTCCTCCCCAAAGCACAAGACCTGAATGTTTATTTAACAGATTGATAGAAGATATTTACATTTAAAAACCAGGGTTTTACTATTTGTTGTGGAGGAAAAGGTGAGTAAATGTAGACATCTGGTGTGAGTTCAAGCTTCAGGTGAGCAGCAGTAAACACTGTTGGCAGGTTTTATTGTTTCCCTGCTGTGAGAAGGTCAGGGCTTGGTGTTTTTGAGAGGCTTCAAGTATTTCCCCCTCAAATGGTCTCTATTTACTGAACTTCAGGCAGTTGTATCTCTGTTTCCACTGGAGATCGTTATCCTCGATTTGCCCTTCAATTAAGTTCACAATCGCAATAAAACATCAAAAATGATCTTTGCTCGGATTTTATCGGGCTCTTTGTTTAGTCTTTCTAGTTTTCTTTCCTCATCGACTCATTGTTTTGAATTAAATGGTTTGTGAGATGTACAAACTATAAAAATAAAAATGTATTTAATTACCTTAAACTGAATTTTAATTAGTAGAAAATACGGCAACCATCCCTTTCTCCAATGCCAGAGAAATATTACTGTAATATGTGTAGCAAGTGCGCCCTTCCGTAAAACACAAGAGTGCTAACACCAAATACGACAAAGTATTTATCTACTTGCCAACTTACTGTGTATGACTTATCTTTACGGAGCCCGTCTGGTGACATTGAGGAAAAAAAATAAACTCATGGCCATGAGATACTTAACGCGTTTCCACGAGTTATTAATGTGAGGCCGCGAAATCCCTAACATGTGGTCACGAGATCCTTAATGCGTTCCCTCTAATTATTACTGCGTGGCCACGACTCATAAATGTGCAGGGGGTGTTTTCCAGAGATCTGCTTTCCAGAAAGGATCTCCTCTTAAAAGCCCCCAAATCGTTGACTTTTACCTAACATTAGGTTTCACCATAAGGTCACTGATATTTATTTTAAAGATTAATAACCAGTTGTTTTATTTAATTATTCAGATCATCCAATAACGCAGGTGATGCGTCTTTTCCTTTCAGCATCACAGACGGCCATTATAAATAAAGTGTGTGTCTTCCTCTCTTTTGTTGTTTGTAGTGACTGGTTTACTTTCATGTGTATTGAGTATTAATTGTGTCACGCACAACTGCACATCTGTGAACCAGTAATCCACACATAACGGTCAGAGGCGCATCTGTCGGAGAGCAGGAGTTCTGACACAACACCGGCTCGTTCCGGCGGGTGTTAGCCAACAGGCGGGCTGATATTTGTTTGATATGAAAAATATTTCCTGTCTAAAACCCGTTTGGGTTCAATTAAATGCTTGTGTCTGGTTCTAAAACTCACGGATCGTGAGTGAGAGTTGTATTTATTTTTTTGCTTAGTAAAATGGCCTGCAGTACCCACATGTGACCACTGGATGTCATTCTTACTTCATTTTATATATTGCACCTACAAGAAAAATTCAGTGCAATTCCTCGTCCGTGATATATCTCAGGTTGTTTAGATCACAATTCTGCCTTAATCTGAAAATGGTACGAAACGTTCTTTAGTTACAAGATATGAAAAATCTGTAAATGAGAAACAAGTTTCACCAAGTTTTTCTGCCCATTTCCATCTCATAAGGCTAGAACCTGTTATTATTTCCTTGAAGATTAGCTCCCCTCACTGTGAGTCCCAATGAGATTTTCTGTTTGTGTTCTTTGTGCAGCTGGAGAAGTTCTGACTTTGTCTGAAAACTGTTCAGCTGTGCCACAAATTCTTCATTTTGTCAAAGAGATGACCTTTCACAGCACAGATAGGTCTTTTCCTTCTGCGCCGCCCCTATCAGACACTCAACCCCTCAGTGCTCCCGCTGCAAAAACAAAAAGTCACATATGTGGCTTTGGAGGAAAGGGTTTTAGAGTAAGTACTACTGTGACCTCCCTGGCTTCAGCGTGAGGTGTTTCTCAGGCTCAAATGACTGGAAAAGCTTTAGAAACGGTCGTCTTTCAGTTTGGTTTCTTATTTCGCCGTCTCTCCTGTCACAAGTCTGTTTTTGTCAGATTTCTTTTAGCTAAACATTAAACTCCAAGTTGAACTTTAGATCTTCAGACTTAATAAAAAACAAACAAAACAAGTATGCCGATGTTTATCATATGAAGGTCCAATGAGCCAAACAAGTAGAACTTATAATCCTACAAAATCAAGTCATGATGGAGATTAAACCCAATGTTGTTTTGGTTTAGGAGGATCTTGTATTCTGAATTCTATTTGAGTTTTTCATAGGAAAGCATATTTATGTCCTCTTCATCATTTTACCTTTAGGTCTACCTCCCCCAAACGGTTACTATGGAAACCATTTCATATCTTTCTGCCACAGCTAAAGGGGGAAAAACTCTAAATCCTGTTCTGATCTTCATTTCCATAATAAAAGAGTAGCAGTTTGAAAATGTGTGCGTGTTAGTCTAATATTTCTAGTCTTTCTGTCTCTCAGTCAGTAACAATATTCATTTAATTCAAGCTGTGGGAGGAGGCGGACAGTAAATCTCTGACTTTTAGGTGCAATTTGCTCTACAAAAGGAACGATTACTGTTTTGTTCGCAGCCCTTCTGTGTGGGTTTAATGTTGTGGATCTGAAAGAGACCGTGGAACTGGGAAATGGAAAATTTCATCCTTTATAAAACCTGACATTTCTAAAAAGAGTGAACGCAGTCATCTAATCCTTTATGTTTTTGCCAGTAAAACGTTCCACCGGGTGTTTGTCTCAGTCTGGGTCTTGGTAAAGCATCATTTGAACTATTGGTACATTTTATTCATCATTAATTTGGTCCCTTGCTGAGGATCAGGGTTCTGAAAGAAAGAACTGTAAATTGTAAAGACCTAATCCCATTTGAACACCTTAAAACTCTGGTTCACTCTGTGCTTCCAGGAGCTGGCGTGGGAGCGCCAGGAGAATGCCAGGATGCTGAAGGACAAAGATGATCTGATCGGGAAGCTAAAGGAGGAAATTGACTTGCTGAACAGAGTGAGTGAGACCCCACCGCTAAACCATCTTTTGTGTTTGTGTGCGAGTCTTGTGGAGGATTTGGATCATCTGGGATTTTATTCAAGTTTCGTATAAAAGCTCTGAGTTTGTTCACTCAGCCAGGACCACCGACCTCCCTAGTGGCACTTCCTGAATTTTTAGCAAGCCGAATCATTTTTGGGTCACAGTAACGTGAGTGTTCTCCATGGCATTTGTACGCTATTGCTGCAGGACCCGCCGAGGATTACGATCAACGTAAACGAGATGATCTGGGCCACATCTAAGAAGCGACCATTAAATAAAGACAAAGGTTTTACATTGTACGTGTTCGCCTACATTCATACCTCTGAAGACAGAAGACAGGAGAACGTGCAGCTAATTAATTAAATAATTTGGTTCTGTACCTTTCTCTTCAGCACAGCCGACAAAGGTTTATGATGGGTCAGTCCTCCTGCATGCTCACATCATTCCCTTCCCTTGCTTGAAAAATTGTTCCAAAATGAAAGTTGAACCCACATCTTTTTTATCTGTGAATTCAATGCCGTTCGGCGAGTCTCAAATAAAAATTTGGGCATCTTACTGTAAAAAAATATACCATTAATGTAAAAAAGAAACTCTAAATGAACTATGTTCACACCCAGAATCAAACCCAGGTCTTCTGCATGGGAGTCAGACATCTTACAAGGTGAGCTACACACCAGTAACATTCAAAGTATCTGTAACTTTTATATCCTTGATGACAGCTGAAACAACATCAAACCAAAGAACGGTTCAGAGCGAAAATGGCTATTTTGTTGCTAATTTGCAGGAAATATCTAGAAGAAAGTTCTACAGAAAGTAGCTAAGGCTCCTCAGAAATGTAGCTAGGTTCATCACTAGGCGTTAGGAACAGCGACAAAGTGGCACTGCCTCTCTCTCTGCTGCTAAAGCTACAGATAGCAAATGCTACGGGCTATGCCTGAGCGTGAACGCGCATGAAGCAGCCTGCTCGACCCGAGCATCTCTCTTTTTCTGTGATTTTACAGAAAAACAGGCAATCACAGTAAAAATGCCAGGGCTCATTCTACAGGACCAGGGCATTGCAGGAGAATGTATGAAGAAGACATTTATTATTTCTATACATGTTTTGGCTGTCAAACTTCCTTATAGTACCTTTAAATGCATTTTATTTTACTGCATGAATTTTATATCTGTATGCCGATTCTAAATTTAAAGATCGTCTGCGTAAACCTGAACAGGTCCAACCCGGTCTTACTGTGAGACCGGGTTGACAGGCCACCTGCTTGTGCGTAATCAGATGTCTCTATAGGCGCCTTCTGAGCTGAAGATGATATGAGATTCTGGACTTCTCCTCAGACGGCTCCTGGATGCATCGCCACATTGGAGACAGGAGCCAGTGCTATTCAGCCAAAGTTTTATAATCAGGGAACATTTTCTAAGCGCCAAGTCTCTGAGAGACGGGGTTTGGGAAGCACTTGTTTCAGTGGGACGAATCTTCCTGCATGGCTCTGGTTCTGTGACGCGCTCCAAGCCCCTCTCCACATCTTCAGCTCGCTGTGCACCGTACGTGCGCGCTGACAGTGAGCTGCGCTGAGCAGTGTCCAGCTCAGATGTTCTGATGGGAATCTTTTCTTGAGTGATTTAGCAACATCTGCGATGTGCGAAACGAGTAAAGTGTCAGTTCGTCTGCATGCGTCGGGGTAATTCTTTTTATTCTTTCTCCGTCAAAATAAACTGTCAAATACGGGAACTATCCAGTCAACACGAACCCTGCCATTTAACTGTTTTTTTTTCTTGTGAAAATTGTTGCAAATAGATCAAATGTAACTTGATTAACACCAGAGCGTGGCGCACTGCGCTGTTATCCCCGTCACTGTAAATGAGGGAAAAACACATTGATCAGATCCTTTTCTTACCTTCATCCATCTGTTCGTGTCCTGCCGATTGGACTACTGCAACTCCCTGTAGTCTGGCCTGGGCCAGTCCTCCCTACACCGACTTCAGCTGGTCCAAAATGCAGCGGCCCGCTTGCTGACTGGAACCAGCAAGCGGGATCACATAACCCCGGTTCTGGCCTCTCTCCATTGGCTTCCTGTCTCTTACAGGATCCATTTCAAAATTTTACTTTTTGTTTTTAAATCCCTTCATGGCCTGGCCCCAGTTTACATCTCTGAGCTGATGTCCGCTTACGTCCCTGCCAGAACCATGAGGTCCAGCTCCCAAGCTCTTTTAACAGTGCCAAAAACCCGCCACAGGACTCGCGGCGTCAGAGCTTTCTCTGTGGTTGGGCCCAAACTGTGGAACAAGCTACCTCTCAACATCAGGACCACACAGAATCTAGAGCATTTTAAATCCCTTCTTAAGACGCATTTTTTGATTTGGCTTTTAATGCAGGCTGACTTGAGCATCTTAATAGATTTTAACAGTTTTTATTACAGATTGTGACTGTTGTGTGCTCATATTATTTTAGGTTTTTATTGTTGATCTGGTGTATCTTGTTTTGTTTTATCTTGTACAGCGCTTTGGTGTAGCTTTGCTGCTGTAAATGCGCTCTATAAATAAAATTGACCTTGACCTTCAATTCAAGTTTATTTATACAGCACAGAATTACGACAAGAGTCGTCTCAAGGCACTTCCCATAGTAAACATTGCAAAAGTTTCCTATGTAAGGAACCCAGCAGGTTGCATCAAGTCACTGACTAGTGTCAGTGACTTTACAGCAATCCTCATACTAAGCAAGCATGCAGCGACAGTGGAGAGGAAAACTCCCTTTTAACAGGAAGAAACCTCCAGAGGATCCTGGCTCAGTATAAGCAGCCATCCACCACGACTCACTGGGGATCCACCTACAAAGTTAAATTACAACAATCAAACAAGACAGAGCCTGGATTTGTATTCTGAACACTTTAAACGTGTTTTTAAAAGAAACGTGTGTGACAAAAAGTGGCACCTGCTCAGTAAAACCACTAACAAGGTGAAAAATATCAAAGTATTGTAGGCAGAGACAGGCTACAACTTCTGGATCCGTTGTATACAAATAGTTTATTGATTATCTTTTGTTGAAAGATAACTTTGACGTACGCAAGTGACCGGTGTTGGCTGCTGTCACCTGTTGTGATTGGTTAAAGCAGCTCTCTGCTGTGGCTCCCAGTGTTTTCTTTACTGTGAGAAACGGGTAATAATGACCCTTTGATGGGAAAAGGTTGCCGACCCCTGGATTAGGTAATTATTATTATTTGTGGTTATTTGAAGCAAGGTGGATGTAAAATAAAATATAAGCATAAACAGTTGGGAAAAGAGAGCGAGGTAGAGGGGCCGCAGCAGCCGAATCTTAGAAAATATAGTGTTCCTTCATCCCCAGAAATCTCAATCTGAACTTTTTTTTTTTACTTGAGAACTCTGAGTGTGTAATGATGACTAATGGGGCTTTAACTGCCTTAGTTATCCTATTGACAGTTATTCTGGGCAGGTCCTGAAATTATAGCTTAAAAAACGCAATAGAGAACACAACCTTGAACTAATCCAGCTAGCTAAAATCCAGGGAGCGTCAAAATGGGGGTTCCTAGCATAAACCCTTTTATTGAATCCAAAAGTGCTCAAATGGAGGCAACTGGACTTCTTTGGTTTCTTGAAGATGTTTCTCTTCAGGGGGTAGAGAGGAGGGGTATTCGGAGAAGTTTCTGCTCATTAAAAGGACTTTAAGGAAGTTCAACAACCAGTACATGTGTAGAAATGTAGAATTATACCCTCATACATTCTCTTGCAATGCCCTGATCCTGTAGAATGATCCCTGGCATTTGTACTGTGATTTCCTCCGTATTCCTGTAAAATCACAAAAAACGAGCATGTTCGGGTCGAAACAGCCTGCTTCCCCAGTGCCTTCCAGAAGCAGTGTGATGATGTCATGCTCAGGCATAACCTGTAGCGTTTTTCTTTCTGTTCTGTTCAGTTTAGCGGCAGAGCGAGAGGCATTGTTGCCAACTCAGCGACTTTGTCACTGTTCCTCATGACTTTTTGACCTCCATCAATTTTATTTTTTCCTGAAAAAGCGACATTTCTGAGGACCCTTTGCTACTTTCTGTAGAACTTTCTTGTAGATATCCACTGCTGATTAGCAACAAAGGAACCATTTGCGCTCCAAACCGTTCTTCCGGGATCAAGGAAAGAGAATGATAATGTGCGCATGTGCACAAGGACATAAACTTTTCTCGGCCAGGCCAATGACAAAGCTACTGCAGAGCTGGAGACTGCCGCTTTACCCCTGCTGTTGCTGCAGATTCATGCCTCTACTAGACAGCACAGGCGTCAACCTGCAGTCTCCGGCTCTGCAGCCGTCAGGCTCTTTGTCTCTTCTTGCATTTGGCAAGTAAAGTCAGCGGGAGTTCGAACTACCATCCCATTAACACGTGCAGCTCTGTGGCTCATTTCCTTCAGTGACATGGTGATGGTTATATCATGAGACACCTGCTCCCAGTTGCTCGATGCACTGGTGTGCACAGTTATTGTCACGATCTAGATGGAGAGAAAGCGCAACAGAGAAGTGAAGAATGGGGAAAAAAACGCTGTTCAAGAAAATGCTGGTTGTGTACAAATGTGAGAATTAGGAGATGCAGGAGGTCAGAGCTATGTCCTTTAACAGAACTGTTTGGATCACCACACCAAATCTGCATTAATATCCCTTTATTTATACTTTTAGAATTTATTTTACACATCAAAGCAATTTGGGCCATTTTAATCATACTGATGGATCATTTTAACTAATAAAATAGTAATAGGGCAAGGGGTTGATGCTTCCAAAGCACGCCAGGGGCTTTCCGTATATGATAGAGCGTGTCATACGCTGCTTGTCTAGCGTGTAGACTTAATTGTTTGTCTTAATTTAACAGAATTGTGTAGAAAAGTCTAAACCTGTAAACTGCACCGGTAGGGGACTGACTCAGCCGTTGTTTTCATTCAGGAGTGTGCACGTACAGCATGCACGCCTCATGCACAAGCTTACT